GGGGGGGCGGAATAGCCAGGCCATAGTGCAAGGGCAGGAGTTCAGTAGTAAGTCAGTCCAAGGCCTTGACCACTGTGCCTCCCTCTCTTGTTCATTGTAGATAGAGATTTGCATACCTTGAGGCAGTATAGATTGGGACTATGGGGGACATTGGCTCACTTGGGCTTGAGCCAGTGTAGATGGGGACTCAGTGTCCTAGATCTAATGTAGACAGAGATTCTCCTCTTAAGCCACTGAATACTTGGTTCCATTGGAGCTGATTGCTTTGGCCAGAAAGAATCCCTTTTCTGGTCTTCAGGCCTCTCCCTGATGTATGTGGAGAGGGTGGGTGGCAGCTGTTGGAGAAGACAGTTCTGGAAAGGCATTGGAGACTCCACAGTGTTCTATGGAATCATCTCCATAATTCCATGTCCAGGGAAGCAAGAGGTGAGCCAGTGGGCAGGAGTGGGCTTGTTTGCAGCAGTGACTGGGTGCTTGACTGCTTGCTATGCAGCCTTTATACCCCAAATCTCCTCCTGATCATTGCTAAAGGTCATCAATAGTGAGTACATGAAATATATGGCTCTGGAGATGTTAAACTTTCTCAGGGATGCTACACAAAAGCCAAGTGCACTCATGTGGAATTGCTCTTATCTTTGGGTTCTAGTGCCTGAATTTTGTAACGCAAAGTTATACAATAATGAGTATGAAACTCTCAGGTCAATCTGGACAGGAGCCTTCATGCACCATCTGTTTCTGGCATCTCTGCAGGACTGAGACTCCCAAAACCTTTCCTGGATGCCTTAAAAAAATCCATGTCCCATTTGACATTTTAATAGTTTGCCATTTTCTAGGAGGGCCAAGAGTTGTGAAATTACCAGAAGTTTAGTTGTTTTTAAATAGTGAAGTCTTTGACTATTTTTCTAGACAAAAGGTTGGCAAATTCCCCTAAGTTAAAACTACTTCCCAGTTTGAGGCAGGGGCTCACTGTGGCAGCCAGGAAATGGAAAATTTCAGATCCAACCTTGCCCTCGGGACTAGATTGTCTAATTGCTGCTTGAAAGCTTACAATGTGCAGAAGATTCTGGGAGGCAGGAGAGGCATAATGAGGGTCATGGAGGAGCCAACTCTAGACTTGGCCAACTCTAGACTTGCAGCCTGATAGCTACAGCAGATATGCAAGCCTGAAGAAGGCAAAGGAGGCAGTATAGAGGAGGAATTCCTTTTGTGCATTTTGTGTGGCTTGGTCTGGGGATTGGAAAGACGATTTCCCAAGTTGTTTTCCCCATGCCCACTGTTGGGTCGATCTGTCAGATAGGTGTTCTCCCTCCTGCTTCTAGAAATAGAAATTGGACTTCTCTTTGTGTACATGGTAACACTCCCTCTCTAAGAGGTAAGAAAGAGGGCTGTTTTACTTACTATATTATTTAGGTATTGTGAAGGCCAAGCCCTTTTGTGCTGAGGCCCTTCCATCAAGTAACCTCCAAACTGTGGGCTCCATCCCTACAGCCAGTGCTTACTTTTCCACCAACGAATCCAAACACCTGTTCTCTCAGTGGCCTCCTTTGGTATACAACTTCCTATGGCCTCTTCTTGCCTTCTAGTCACAAGTGTACCAAAGAGGGGGTGGATGTTTGGGTCAGTGCAAGTTCACCACTCAGAGGAGTTTATGCGTAGTAGTCCAGAAACCAGAAGTGATGTTCCTCTTCATAGACCCCAAATAGAAGCAGGCCACAGTGTACTCAGATAGGGCTTACCTGTGGCTCTGAGTGGCACTATGTGACACTATGTATTTCAGTGTCTACCCTGTCCCTTTGGATGTGGGATGGGTGTTGGATGGACATTCAACTGTCTCCTCTCTTGACCTTTTATCGTTGTTTTTTGTTATTTTCTGAAATATGATTTACATGTAGCAGAGTATGTAGGTCACAGAGCATAGCCCTGGGTCAGCCCAGATGCTGCTGTAGAGTTTGGCAGGAATCCCTTTGCATTTCTGCCAGATTACTAAGGTCCCTGCTATCACATAGAGCCCACTGCTTCCTATCTGTGAAGTGGAGACATTGCCTTCAGAAAGGGCCCATGTGCATGAAATTTCCATCACCACCTTCATGGAACCATCTGTGTTCTCTCCTGCCTGACTTCTGTTTTCCAAGAAGTCTTTTGGATCTGTTTTTGGCTTATTTTGGGAGCCTAAGAGAATGTGGTTTGGTAATGTCAGCATGGGGAAGAGCTGGTCAAGTTGATGATAACCATATTGGATAATTCTCAGTAGCTGTAGCCTGCTATGAGGTAGATGTTCCTCCTTTCCCAGGAATAAGATCTAAGATTCTCAGGGAAATTGTTTTTTTTTTTTCCCCTGAGGTTCGGGGGTGGTGTACTAGGGATTGAACCCAGGGGTACTTAACCACTGAGACACATCCCCAGCTCTTATTATAATATTTTATTTAGAGACAGGGTCTTGCTGAGTTGCTAAGTACCTTACTAATCTGCTAAAGCTGGCTTAGAATTCGTGATCCTCCTGCCTCAGCCTCCTGAGTTGCTGGGATTACACGTGTGTATCACCGCACACAGCACGACAAGTGTTTTTTATTTCTTAACAATCTTCCCATTAATCTTCTTTTTAATACCTAGTCTGGCTTTTCCAGGCCTGGCTTGCAATCTGCATTTTGATCTGAAGATTGTCCTATTCCAGAAGCTTTGTGGAGCATCACTCTCTTGTTTCCTCTGTTCCTGGCACCTGTTAGGATACCTGACTGCACAGAGAGGATGGTCAGTGTGCCCTGTACATGGTCCTGGTGCAAGAATTGAGGCCATGATGCTATAAGTGCACTGGTCTCCTGACATCCCCGGTGCCGAAGCACCAAACCAGCTTTGTGACCTTAGGCCAGAAGTTGCTGGTGGGATCAAGCTCAGGATGGGTTCTCAGTCTAGCTGCCTCCTTGGCCCCATGTGCTTGGTTGTGAGCTGTGCTCACTGGCTGGCTGGCCTGGCAGGAGCTGCAACTGACTTGACTGTGATTTGATCATGTTGTTTCCTCTCTGAATTCTTTTGATATCAGAAGAGAGAAGGATTCGTAGAGGATAGGAAAGGTAGCAGAATACAACAGTCACTAGTATGGCAATATGTAAAGACGTGGATGTGTAACTGATGTGATTCTGCAATCTGTATACAGGGTAAAAATGGGAGTTCATAACCCACTTGAATCAAATGTATGAAATATGATATGTCAAGAGCTTTGTAATGTTTTGAACAACCAATAATAAAAAAAAGAAAAAAAAGAAAAAAAAGAAGAGAGAAGGATTGGCTTACCTGCAGCCAGTCTTACACCTCCCTGTCCCTATTGTGACTATGAGCCATCTGCCCTGAACCTTTTAATTCTATTGTTTTTTTTTCCTTTTTTTCATCTCTTTAATGTTCTTTTTTCTATATTTCTCCCATTTTTTACTGATTTTTTTTTCCAGCATGTACAATTTGCTCTGGTGTATATGGGTGTTTGTGGGTATATGTATTCCCACTGTGTTAAAATATGCATATATATAATTTTACTTTCACATTAATTGCTATCTTCTGCACTTATTTATTCTTTAAACTTGATTTGACTTAGGTGGTGTATAATATATGTGAATTTGGTTTTTTTCTTTCTTTTTTTTTTTGGTACTGGGAATTGAACCCAGGGTGTTTAACCACTGAGTCACATCCCCAGCCTTTTTTTCTTTTTTTTTTTTTGTATTTTATTTAGAGACAGAGTCTCGCTAAGTTGCTTAGTGCCTTGATTTTGCTGAGGCTGGCTTTGAACTCACAATCTTCCTGCCTCAGCCTCCAGAGCCTCTGGGATTACAGGTGTGCACTACCATGCCTAGCATATGTGAGTTTGAGCTGTTTTGATCTTACATTTGCTTGTTTGTTTGTATCTTGGTTTTTGTCCCTTTGTCACTCTTTTTCACCACTATTAGTCACATTTTCCTGTTCCCTCTTCCTCTTTATTATTATTGTTAATTTTTATTCTCCCTCCTCACAGCTGATTTTGATATCATGGTAATCCTGGCCTTATAGTTTGAGTTTGGAGGGGTTCCTTCTGTCTCAATTCTTTGGAATAGTTTGAGAATCATTGCCATTTCTTCTTCATAAGTTTGGTAAAATTCATTGGTGAAGCTATTTGGTCCTGGGCTTTTCTTTGGTGGGAATCTTTTAATTAATGATTTGATCTCATTTGTTACTTTTTTTTATATCCTCATGGATCAACTACTATTTGTCAGTGTCTTCTTGATTTCCTAATTTATTGAATTATAATTTATAATAATATAGTTTTTAAAATATTATATAACAATAAATTATAGTTTCTAGTAATCCTCTTCATTTCAGAAGTGTCTGTGGTGATAGCTCCCTTTTCATCTCTAATTTTGTTAATTAGGGTTTTCTCTCACTAGTTTGGTGAAGGGTTTATCAATCTTATTTATCTTTTTGAAGAACATACTCTTTGTTTAATTGATCCTGTATTTTTAAAAAATTCTCAGTTTTATTAATTTGATTTTGATTTTTATTATTTCCTATCTCCTATGGCTTTTTCTTCCTTTCTAAGGACTTGAGGTAAATCATACGATTATTTATTTGGGATCTCTCTATTTTTTAAATGCAGGCACTTCATGCTATACATTTTCCTCTTGAAACTGCTTTTATACTCTCCCAGAGATTTTGATATCTTGAATCTCTGTTCTCATTTG